GGGAATTTTTGCCAATTCTTCTATAGAATTAGGGTGGAAAGGAAGCACGCTGAGTTTGTATGGAGAGAGCTCGGACTGCCAGCCGCTTGTTTGCCATGCCTCCAGCTCTGTCCCCCCCCGAGACATCGTCCCCGCTAGAGAGAGGCAAGAAAACCCGGTGAAAGGGCTGCGGCAGCCGCTGCGAAGTGCATCATGTACCTCTGGTTGCTGGCGGGGATGGGGTGGGAAGGGGACAAGCTTCCCCAGGTGGGGCGGGAGGGTGCGCTTGCCAAAATGTCCCCACCCAAAGGAACGTGCACTGGCTGTGTCTAACTCCCCATGGGTGCGAGCTGACGTGGGCTTTTGCTAGCACACCCGCCCTCTCCCCCCTTTGGAAATTTGGCCCTCGGAGTCTAATACATCATTGTTCTGCTTATAAATGTACTAAGTGTTGAGAATGTTTTGGTTTTTTCCTTAATTATAATTGTAATTGGCTTTTCCCCTTCTCTCTTGTTTATTTTTTTTCCCAACGCTGTCTTGCTTTGCACTGTGATTGCATGCTGCACCCCGATGTGTCCTTCATGACGATGTCACATGGCTTGTTGCTGTGATTCCTGCCACGCCCCCAAATCCACCACATGTTGCCATGGTTACATTTAAAAAAAAAAATACAAAAAATACAAAAAAAAAAAATCAAAAAAACAAAATAATATACGCTCCACCCTCCCGTATGTCGCTTCCATGGTTCCCTTCCGAAAGTGCCCATGATGCACGGTGCTACGCCCACCACTGTGTCTGCAGCAACAACTCCTGCCACCAGCGTCCCCTTCGCTGCAACAGCTACCGCCAATCAGGTTTGGCCCTTTCAATGGCTTTCTTTCACGTGTTCAGATCTCGAGGACCGGGCGAGGGCCGGATCCGGCGTGGGGCCGAGCGTGTGTGTGCGTGTGTCCGGGGATCGGTGAGGGATGGGCGGCCAGCCCGGCCGGAGCGTAGGGATGGGCGATTGGCAGGGGTGCAAGTGCTTCTCCCAAAACACCACCACCCCCCACCACCACGTCCTGAAAAAACAAGGCTGTCAAACTCCCCACCCTGCTCTCAAGATCCGCAGCGCTTCTGCTTTCGGTCTCAAGCAGAAATCCCACCCCAAGCATCTTTCCCCATGGTATTTTGGCATGTCCTCTCCTGGCTGGAAAGTGGAAGACAAAACAAAGCAGCTTCCCCCCACTGCAAGATTGGACTCTAAAAACAACCACCACCACCCCCCAAAAAAACCCCACCCACCAAACCCCCCAAAAAATCGGGAGCAAGCCTATGAAGTGTGAAGTTTATTTCCACCAGTAACGTCACCCATCCCTACAGAAGTGACTCTGGATGTGCAGTCCGTGCCGTTGTAGCACTGCCATAAGTGTACAGGACTCCATGCATGTCTGCCGAGCCATAATTCTCTCCAAAACTTTCCTCTGAAGATACCGAGTTGTGATGGCTGCTTCCGCACCAGTCCTCAACTGTACATGCACAACCTGTCTTAGTGATGCTTCCTGGTAATTCGGTGTGCCACGACTTCTCCCAGTTAGACCAGAGGCATTTCAAACACTTTTTTTTTTTTTTTTTTTAAATTATGACTATTATTATTATTATTATTCCCCCACCACCACCCCAGTACTAATTTTTAGCATTTTTAATTGTCATTCTCTCAGGGTTAGAGCTATTGCAAAGAAAGTGGTGTGTCACTTGGTTTTGTGGGAGGCTGTCAGCCGTGCCGAATGTCAGCAACATCTTGGGGGGGGCTCCCTCTAGTCTTTCTCTAGTGTGAGGTCATGAGGCTTCCAGTCCGAGTTTTGCCTGCGTTAAGTCCTAGGCAGTGTTTTACTGCTCGCAGTAGGGATCGCTAGTCTTTTTTTTCTGTGCTTTTGTTGTTATTTTCAGGTAGAGCAGGTCTTACTCATACTCATACCGGTCATAGGAAGAAAGGCAAAATTCCTGTGCGGCGAGCGTTGCTGTGTGAGTCCTGTTTCAGCCAGAGAGTTTCAGGGCGTTTCTGTCTCGCTGGTAGTCTGTGGGGGTGAAATCCCAGTACGAGCAACACGTACTCCGTGAGGCATCAGTAGTGATGCTGCTCTTTGTGGCAAAATAAAGATGTCTTGGGAACAGATCCCCTTTTATAAGCCACTGATGTACTTACTAACCCGAAACTGAAGACAGAATGAGCAGCCCCATCTCAAGACAATGTTTTAATGTGTTGTGTTCTTTCTTTTTTTTTTTTTTTTTCTTGCTGTAGATATCCCAGTTATCAGTAGATGAACTGAGTAGCAGCATGTTTGTTTCACAGATGTAGAAGTTCCCGATAGAACAGTAAGTTCCTTCTCGGTATTTCTCTTTATGGTGGACGGACGGCTTTATACGAGGGCACGGCACCCCCCAAAAAAGGCTGGGGTGGGGGCTGGCTCGGGCAGAGGGACGGAGCCTGCGGGACCCCAGTGGCTTCACACTCTGCTGACTCAACTGAAATCACAGAATCACAGAATATTCATGGTTGGAAGGACCTTTGAGATCATCAAGTCCAACCACACACACAAAAAAAAAAAAAAAGAAGAAAACACAGACACCCCACACCCACCCACAGACAGACCCAACAATCTCGGGCACTAGGATATTCTTCCCAATAGCTAATCTAAACCTCCCCTGCCCCAACTTCAGACCATTTCCTCTGCTCCTGTCATGATTCCCTTGGGAGAAGAGGCCAACCCCCACCTCTCTCCACCCTCCTTTCAGGGAGCTGTAGAGGGCAATGAGGTCTCCCCTCAGCCTCCTCTTCTCCAAACTAGACATGCCCAGTTCCCTCAGCCTCTGCAGCACAGATACGGGCCAGCCCTGTGCTTACAACAAGTAATATCTCCTTGCGGCTAAAAAAATCTGTTTTATGGTGTTTGCAGCCTCCCTTCTTGTCTCCCCCTGCGTTTGATGGCTCTGTTTACAGGTTGCTCTTGCTCTGCACGGCTCCCAGCTGCCGGCAGGTGCCTCAGGGATTTGTGCTCTTGATGGCAAAGACTGCTCTGGGAATGAGTCAGCTGGAAAGGTGTAGCTTCTCTTTTGCTGTTAGTGGTGTATTTCCTTTCCTGGGGTAAGCAGGATTGGGTGGTGGTCAGCTGCAGTGCATCTGCGGGGCTGGCTTGGTCCGAGCAGAGACGTGCTGCTCCGCTGCAGCGGGGCCTGGCCCACGGCGGGGTTCTCCAGAGGCCCTTGTACCAGGATGAGACTGGGATGAGAGCCACAAGCCACGTATCCTTCACCCCACCTGCAGACCCTGGGCTTCCCTAGGGCCCTGGGTTCCTCTGAGTGGGAGTGATGGAGGTGCTTGTCCTTTTCTTTGACTTGCAGAGTATTATTTCACAGCCCTAGCAGCGGTGTCATTTTTCCATTGCTTTTATTTGTCAGTGTTCGCTGATGTTCACAAGACAAAACCCCTTGAGGGTTTCAGTTAATCACTCTTATTTTTTTACCCTAAGAGAGTAAAGAGTAAGTTCAGCCAATTGAAGTAGAGGTTGCTAGATTTTCCCAGTGCAGGCCATTTAGTTATGCTAATTTAGTTAGCATGCATATATATATAAAAATATAATTTAGTTAGCATATTTAGTTATGCTATAGCAGGCCATACACAGTTACACAACCCTTTTCTTCCTTAGGTCATGTGGGCAGGTACTTAAATGCTGGAAAATAATTTGGCAAGCAATTCTTCAGTTATGTCTTTAGCAGTCAACAGCAGTTACTCGTGTTGGTGGTGGCCCTTATCTCTGCTGACCTAAACAAACTCCTGTATGTATAAATGCTCTAGCTCTAGGCAATCCTGCTTCAGCAGGGGAGTTGGACTAGATGATCTCTATGGTCCCTTCCAACTCTAAAATTCAGTGAAATTCAGTGAAATGGCCCGGTAACGGTGGCCTGGACCCCTGTCAGTCTAGTGGTGACACCGAGCTGTCCCCGTTAAGGAGGTGTTGTGTGTTACACGGTGTACTGCTCTCCCAGACAGCAGGCAGAGGTGACACCTGACGTGTTGACCCATTTCCATAACACGTGCAAACAGTCTCTTCCACCTGATAGGGAGACTATTTGCATGGGAAGAGCCTTGTTCTTGAACTCTTAGAGATTGTTCTCAGCATTTATTTCAGGAATTTATTTTTTTTTCGTCTGAATTCTTTTCACTTTTGTGTATGTGTGCTTAAACTCACACTGTAGAGATTGTTCTCAGCATTTATTTCAGGAAACTTTTTTTTTTTTTTGTCTGAATTCTTTTCACTTTTGTGTATATGTGCTTAAACTCACGCTATCAATAGTGAGTGATCTCAGACTAGGCAAGGAACTTCTTTGGGATTCTTCAGCAGGTAGGGAGCACGGTGCTGTCTGTTTTCAGCCGTGCTGCTAAGGATTGGGAAAAACCTTTGCTTGGAAGAAGTTGGTCAGAGTGTTGAATTTGATGGGATTTGCTGGGGATCAGGCACGGAGAGAGCCTGGGTACAACATTACGTGAGGGCAGCGTGAGCACCTCCAGGAGTCACTGCTCCACCACTTGTCCTCTTAACACCTCGCAGCTGTAGGACATCAACCCACCTTCAGAGGCTGGTAGAACAGGGCGACATTCCCCAGTGTCCTCAGCACTCCCAGACCCACCAGTGACCATTTCCACATGGCAGCGTGTGTGTTGCACTCCAGTTCCTGAGCTGTTACCTGCTGTGTCCCTGCGTAAACTAGAGGCCACCGGTCTCTGGAGGACACGTCATCTCACGCTACCGCCCGTGTGTGAAGTTGTGCATGTGCTCAAGCACTTTGCCAGAGGAGGTCCCTGGTGGGCACCGCGCGGTGCTGAGGGGCAATTCCCCGGGCTGCAGGAGCTGGGAAGCTCAAACACTCACTGCTCTGGCAGATGGGTTTCTTTTCCTCCGTGGTTGGCGAGGTCCTGGCTGGCCAACTCAGCCAGAGACACAAGTCTTGGGTCCTTCAGGGGAGGATTTTCACGGGTACATCCCAAGAGAGGTGATTTGCCCCCCAGAGAGGGTCCTCTGAGCAGAGGGTTTCTGTGTCTGTGTTTTGTCCCTGGGCCCGAGTCACCTTTGGCTTGTGGCTCCTTAGGGTCAGATTTTGCCGTGTCCTCCTGTGGCTCGCTCTGAAGGAAACGGGAGCGAACAGGGGTCAGGGATTTCTTTGTCTCTCTCCTTGGTCACTCCCCACCTACCATCCTGTCTCAAAAAAAAGAGGCTATTATTCACCCACCTCCCTCTTTGGCTACTTGTCTTGTCAGCGTGTGTGAACGGGAAGCCCCAGGTACAGATGAACGAGGATGCCAAGTGTGTTATTAACAATTTCACCCTACGTCAGAAAATTAAGGGAATAAAATGTTCTCTCTCCGCAACATACTAATGGCAACCTCTTGGGCAACACAGTGAGGATGCAGATGTATCTTATTAGAATGACTTTCATTAAAATACAGATATTTCTCTCCCTAACTTCTCCCTCTTTCTTTGTTCTTGTTTTTCTCTTTCCCCTGCAGCAGAACCATGTTGAAATTCTGAACAGTAAAATTATGGAGCACCAGGACTTCTTGGTGGGAAGCTGCGCATGGCCTTTCTGTATATACCCCCTCTTCCCTCTCTCGTTCCCTACCACCTCGACAGTAAGCCTGTTGCAGCCTACATGTTAACCAAAAACTGATCAATGGGAATGTCAAAAAAAAAAAAAAAAAAGCACTATAGAAACAATTAACAAACAGCGCTCTGTTATATGAGATATACAAGTAGAAAATTATAATAGACTTTTATAACACATTACTTTAACACACTTAATCATTTTATGACTACCATCCTGAGAAGTGCGTCTGCACAGCGGACTGTTGGTTTACTGTATACTATCGATGGATAAATGTTTGTCTTGTTTTTAAAGTGTTATCTTACTGTTTTGTTTACATCATAGTCTATTGATTTGTTTTAAAGTGTACATCATTATCAAGTATACTCAATACCATTTTTTCATTATTGTTATGTCTTAAGTTTTCATATACTGTAGGTTTTGTGGGGTTTTGGTTTGTTGTTTTTTTTTTTTTACTAAAAATGTTATTGTGGGAAACAGGAATTATGTGCTTGAAAAACACGACACAGGAATGTTCTGCCCTTTGCTGGATTTTGCTGTTAATGTCAGCTGGTGTTAAACGCTCCTTTTATCATTGAAAATTTGCCTTCAGTCAGAGTCTCCAAATTTTTAGTACAAGTGATATGAAAGGATATGAGAGGACAGCTATCATTTTAGTCCAGTTCAGGGTATTTGTTTCCATACAACGAGCTGATTCTGGAAACTTTTGGCAAAAAAAAACTCACAAAAGGCCATGCTCAGTGAGGGACAGGAAGGATTTGCTCAGGCTGTGATGGGCACTGAGGGGTTTCTGCAGTTCTCTTGTCCATTGAAGTGCATTCTCAGCTGCAAATGGCGCACAATCTCTCTTGCTGTTCTCATGGTGCAGTCCAAAAGAAAACAAAAGTGAAAATAATAGGTGGTGAAGTGAGAGAGCTTCAGTTGGGCAAGGGCAACGCCAGGCGTTAGCTGGAGCAGACCCACGGCCGTGGTACCCTGCCCGGGGGCTTGTCTCCACTAACCAGGCTGAAACATTTCCACCTGAAATCTTAACGTGGCTCTTCTTGGAATTTTGTCAGCGTGCACTGATTATTAATCAGCGTTTTCCTTAAGTGGGTGATTTTGCCCCATGATTTCTGGCCCTTTAAAGCAAACACAGCAGCAGCAGAGCAGGAAAAGGCTCAACGTAAGCTTTCTGCCGTAGATAAACATTCACCTTAACGGAGCTCTGGTAGGTCAGTGGATGTATTTTGGCACCTTCTACTTGATCAAGAGCAATGTTTGCCACACAACAAGGGCTAGTTCTCAATACCTCCTTTTCATATGCACCAATAAGACGATTTCCAGCCCCTGCACCCTGGACAGCCCAGCCTGTCGTCACGCTACGTTGCTGAACAATCTGGCTGCAGAATGCATTTTGGTTGAGGATATAGCCACGTTCATCCCTCTCATAGCTCTACAGTATCATTGGCGTTGTGGAAGAGATGGATTTGCTCCGGTAAATCCATAAACTCTGTTCTAGAAGAAAGAGAATATTGTTATTGAATCCAAGCGAGAGGCCAGTTCCCGGTGTCTGGAGGACTGGCCACCCTGAGATCACAGTGGTCCTGTAGGGTGCCAAATTTTGACAAGCAAGTTGCATTTTCTTTTCCAAGTTCCTTGGCCTTGGTTAGAGTCTTTCCTTGCCCCCTGTCCTCCCTCCAGTGTGAGCACAGGTTGTTTGCTAGACGTGTATGTCCATGGACCACAAGTGATGGAGGGACATCTAGGGCACAGCCAGCCTGTCCCAGGGCGGGTGCTGACCCTCTGCCCATGGAGACTCCTTCCTAGTGAGAACCTGTGAGGAGTCCCTAGCTCAAAAAGACCTTGAGGCAGAAGGAATCTCTCCGTTCATTCCATCAGGCTTTGAACCAAACCCTGAGAGAGGGGAAAAACCATCCCCCCCCAAAATAAACCCCCTCTCCTTTATGAACCCCGTGTTTTGCCCGTCGCGTCCGTAGACGTTCCCCAGCCCCCCGTGCTCACACGCAGCAGCGTTGCCCAAAATCAGAGACTCTCGTTTGTCTCGGCGGCCACATACCTGTTCTTTTCACCACTGAGTTTCTGTTTCCCAAAAACCATAACGTTGTTAGTGGAAAAAGTGGATTTGAGTACTTCCTGTTTGAAATTATTTGTGTATCAAAAATGGGTTTTGCACAACCTGTGCCAGTGCCTCAACAAAGAACAGAGCTGATCTTCTTAAGCCAGAAAGGATGCATTCAAGCTTGTATGGCTTTATGAGTTCAAGGAGGTTGGAATTTTTTTCAGTGCTAAATGGATTTTTGTATATCTTGACACTTTGATGTAACCTCCTGTTTTATTTATCGACTTAAACATCTGGCATAGATGTGCATAGAATGTAAACCTAGAACACAGCTGTTTTCATGTCACATTTAAAGCACTGAAAAAAAAAAAAAAGGATTTAAGGATTATTTTTTATTAAAGAGGTCCAATGAGGGATGTTCAGGGTAGTTATATTAGGTGCCACAACAGTTTTTATATTGCTGGCAAATTTAGAGTTAATTTGTAAATGAGTTTAAGGAAAGAAAAGCTTGAAGCACTAAACTTCACCAAATTCAAAACAATCTCGGCAAAAATGCCATTTTGAGGTAGCACTATTTAAACTAGTTGTGCAATGACTTGCTCTAATTTTCTTTGTTCAAGAAAGAAAAGAAAAAAAAAACAGTCGCCAGACTATAAATTTCCTAAATAGACTATTACAAAGTCACCGAGCTAGTTAGTGACTCTAAACAAATGTCATAAAAGCATGAATATCATCCTTTATTTGACAAGAGATGTATGTAAGTTTGTTTAAATCGATATAATTTTAGTGACATTTTTATAAGCTTCCCACTTTCTGTGAACCTATATTTTTTATTTATCCAAAGTTATTTCTCTTTGTCCATTTCTCTCAGCCTTATGCAAACAATATGCAAGAAATGCTGAAACTTGGATAAAACGGGTCATGCAGAGGGAAAATGAAAGCTGAGATTGATCATTTTCACGAGAAAAGGTTGTTAGTAGTTTCAATAAAAAGTACTACTACTAAACTGTAACATAACCAGACAATAAAAGAGGGATTAAAAATAAAATGGATTCATAAAACTATTAAGATTATTTTTGTTAAATACAGTGTTTCTAGTAATTTGGAACATGATTTCACAATCAGCCGTGGTGGTTTTTGGTTGTTTGTTTTGGTTTGGTTTTTTTTTTTCAGTTGGGGATTTCTAGCTGATGATTTTTTGACTGTGTTATTTTTTGCCTCGCAATGTTCTAGTGGAGCTTTATCTGCCCCGGGGGCACCCCCAGGCGCTTCTCCTCCCCTCTGCCACCTCCCACCCACGGCGGGCACCGCGCTCCGGCTCCTCCTGGGCCACCGGGCTCCGGGTGGCCGTGGAGATGGGCTGGTGGCTGGTGGGTGCAGGTGGCCCCAGGAGCTGTCGGGTGAGATGTCTTCTCCTGCGGCGCTGGGGGCTGCCGGCCGGGCTGGTAGAGTCGCTCCGGGACGCGCGGGTCCGCCGTGATGGAGAAACTGGAGTCCTGGTTTTGTTTATCCCTTGTACATTTCACAGACATGACAATTGAGGAAAAAAAAAAAAAAAAAAAAAAGGAAAAAAAAAAAAAAGGTGAAATTTATGAGGAAAAAAATTCTAATTTCCCATTCCTGTTGAATGGATTTAGTTTGATATTGACCTGATTTTACCATGTGCCTGTTGAAGGCCTTAGAGTATATACTGTATGTTAAATACTGTAATAACGTCAAAAAAAAATAAAAAATAAAAATAGTTGATAGCCTAATCCAAATGTAAATAGAGCTACACCACATTGTTACTAGGCTACAACGCATTAACTCATGTCAGATATTTCCATTTCTCTGCCATTAGTTTTTAAGGTTTTCATTATTGCTTTTTTGATATCTTTAGTAACTAATGAATTTAATTTTGAAGGAGAGTTAGAGAAAGTTTAAAATTTTTAATACACGTATCCAGCCCATTTAGTTATATTCTAAACCAACACTGAAGCATGGTAAGGTATAGAATACAGTCCATAACTAGTTTGTATAGTTTACAGTTTAAGAACAAAATTAACTTTGTATGTAACTCCTACAATGATAGATTCATTGTTAACTAATTATATTAAGTTGTTGTTGCTATGGCAACAAAACTACAACATGGCTACCTTTGTATACATTATTTGTGAGATTTTCACATGTAAATTAAAAGTGATGTGTAACAGTATGAGCTTGTTAAAGGTACAGTTCGATACTGTCAGATAAAGATATGATTGAATATTTTTAAAATCCCAAAGTCCCATGTGAACGCTGAATTTGTGTCTTTGACGTCACTTTTTCAGTCGAGAAGTTTACAACACATGGATTTAGAGTCAGGTTTTATAGCTTGTAGAAATTTGTTGTGTGGCAAGGGTTATTCCACAGTATTTTCAACTTAAGGAAACGCGCCAGCCTGGGTTCACCAGGCGGTGACCGCTCTTGGTTTTCATTCCCCACCTCCCTGCTCCCGGTGGGGATTCGGAACGGATCCCTCTCGGTCCTGGCGATCTTCTTTCCTCCCGAAATTGAGCGCTCGCGCCATCACCTTTCAACGATCAGGGCTAAATAATTAAGCATATAGCTATTTTAATACTAATTTATATTAGCAAAAACTGTACATAATAAGGAAAAAAAAAAATAATAATAAAAATATTGTGGAATGACCCCGTAACAGTGTTGAAGATACAAATATGCTGCAGTTAAACTGATTCAGTTAGTGTACGAATGTGTGAGACACACCTTTTTTGCACTTATGTACATAGTCCACGAAAGAAATCCTTGGAACTTATTTTGAATATAAAAAGTCTGTAATAATACAGGAAAAGTTTGTAAAAGAGATAGGTATTACTTAAGGCTTTGAAAAGGAGGAGTTTTTTGCTATAAAACTTATCTGAAAGCATGATGTTGCTTTGCTGTTGTAAAAGCTTTGTAGTTTGCCATAGCTTCTTATACAGCAGACTGATACCAGGTCAGCTCCAACCTGCAGCACAGAGAAATGGGAAACAGTGCTTAATTAATTAGTAAGGTCACTAGCAAAGATTTCAATTACGAGGGGGGGGGGGAGGGGGAAGGGTTTGTTGGTTTTTTCCCCTTTTTTAATGGGCCTACATTTTCAAACGCACCCCAGGTCGCGCTTCTGCCGGGTTGTGTCCCCGTGGGGGCTGTGGTGGGACACACACTCATTTTTCTTAGCACCTAATCCCATTTCCAGCAGGGAGAGGTGACCGGCAGCGCAGCGAGGGCTGTACGTCCCCCAGGGGATGTGCAACATCACCACTTGCTGATTTTTTTAAATTTTTTTAATGATTTTCCCCAGCGTTTTGGGGCTGGGTGCCAGCCTGGCAGGGGGTGATGAGCAGCAGAAGGCTGGGGGTGGTTTCTTTTGGCTGCAGGGCACCCCCGGGGGTCCATCTGGGAGAGCCCCCTGGTTGGTGCTGCCTCTGGCCGGGGTTAAGGAGCCCCGTTGAGTTGTCACCAAAGGCAAAGTTTCCTGCTGAGCCTCTGGGTCCCCTCTCACTGTGGTGGTGGCACCAGGGTTCTGCAGCACCAGGGCAGATTTTGGAGAAGCTCAAGTGCCCGTGTTGACCCATTTATTTTTTGATTAAAACAAGTGGGTTGGTTTTTTGGTTGGTTGGGGTTTTTTTGCAAAACCCAAGCCCCAGATTCGGTTCAGGAAGGTGGCTGGTTTTGCCACGAGGCTGGTCTTGCCCCAAGCCACCAGGTGAGCGTCCCAGAGCAGGACTGGCGGGTGGTGGTACCCGGTGTCACCATCTCCCTTCCCTGCCCGTCCCAGAGCTGGGACCTGCTCTGATGCCACCGCCGATGGCATCGTGGAGGTGTCCAGGTCCTGGCGCTGGCAGCGAGTGCCCAGCCAACCAGCGGTGCACTCGGGGTGTGTCTAAGCCGGGGGGTTGCTGAGTGGGGGTCGCAGCATCAGGCGGTCCCAGGGTCTTCAAAACGGGAGGAGAAAAGATCAGGTGTTGCCTCTTTGCAGTGGGTGTTACAATAACCCAGATTTTAAGATGAAATAATCATGCAGTTCTAGCCAACTGTGTTCTGAAGGCTTCCCTTTGCCGTAACCCATTTTTGTAATCAAGCTCTTTCTCATTTCTAGGATTATGAGAGAAAAAATATTTTGCACTATGAAATGCATTGTGGAGGGTCTGATTTCTTTTCTTTGGGGTGTGAGCATGATCCCGACAACTCTGCTGAAATCTTTGCTAGTGATCTTTACTGACATCCTCTATCATCAAAAATAACTCTACATGCCTCTCAAATGAGATACTTAAACTTGCAAAAATAACACAACTATTAAATAAGATGAAGTTATTTTTCCAAACACACAACAGAGAGAATTACCTGACACCGAATTACAAGGTTCCAGTTCTTTATTACTGTACACAGATGCTATTTGATAGTGGTGGAAGCCAAATGATTTTGTTGCCATGGCTTTTGTATCCTAGCAGATGAGGGGATGATAAGACCATTCTTAGATTGGATTATGGGATTTATTTTTTTCTTTCTAATTAGCTTTGTTTTAATTATATTTTTTATTCAAATCATGAAAACGAACCAAGACTCCCCACGCTCTTTATTATATCACCTGACAACAGATCACTTTTTTTTTTTTTTTTTTTTTATAAATAGAGAATTGTATTTTAGGCAATCACTAAAATCAAAGAGAGAATGTTCTCCTAAATTGTCAACTTTTAATTTAAATATATAAAAACATTTATACTGTACTGTGTAAAGTAGATCTTTGAAGCACATTCTTCTTTTCATAGGCATTTCTGGTAAAACCAAGTAAGGGAAACATTAGATATCAATTTAATGGTATAGTTTAGAAAATATATGCAAACAATTACAGTTAGCCCTGTGGAATTGTAAGAAATTAAGATCTCATCGGATCCAGCCAGGCGTAGGCTAATGCAATATTTCAGTTCCATAACACGATAGTTCATTCCCTCAACTGCTACCAACAGGGTGTACGCTTTGAATTTCTTTTTCTTTTTGCCACGTTATATTGCTGTAGTGCTTGTACGTGCTTTAGAGATGTGCATAATGCTACTCATTTTAGTATGTTACTTCTATATTGTTATTGTTTATTTTTTTGATCTTTTAATAAAGTGTATAAAATTCTTGGTTATGTTTTTTATGGATCCATATCTACACATTAATAGGAGTTTACTTTAAAAACTTTTCAAGTTCCGGTTTATTAGTCCCAAACTTTAAAGGTTCTGATGTAAAAATAATAACTAATGAATTTGATTCAATGTTATATCTAAAGTGTAGAACAACAGAATAAATTTCTTTCCAGAAAATACCTTCAGTATTTTGAATTCTGTAGCCGGTGCCTCCTTTTTATCGGATGCATTCGGCCTGTCCTATTGAAGTTACTAACACGAGAAAGACATTTGTATTTTAGAAAAATAAAAAGTAAAAACTTTCCAGATGCTGCCTTTTGGTTTCTCTTGTGCCTGAGACCTTCTGAGACGCACCGTGACGGGTTGAATTTTTCTCCCTGCTTCCTTTCTGCCCCGCTCTGTGCTGAGCTGAGCGGGGAGCTGGGAGCTGTGCGTGTGGAGATAACCCTGAGGAGCAAACGGATGGTGATGGAAGCCCTGCAGCTCCCGTAGCGCGGTGATGAGCGTGTTAATTCTTCTCTTCCAGCCTTTGTTTGGGGGATGGTTCCGCACCTCCTGGTGCTGTGACACAGCAGGGGGTTCCCTTTGCCCACCCCAGCTCCCAGTGCTCGGCCGGAGCTGGGCTGCCAGCCCCCCTGTCCCCGGGGATGTCCCCTGCCACCCCCAGCAGCTGCTGCTCCGCTCCCACTGGACTTCTGCAGGAGAACATCGCTCCTTGCTGACTTTCTTTGTCCCTTCTGTAACGTTGCCTCGATTTAGAGGTAAGAAAATCGCTTGGCGGTGTCACCACCTGTGTGCCAACAGCTTTGCCGCAAAAAGGGGGCTTTTACCCTGAAACTGGCTTGAGATCACCACTCGCTGTCTAAAGGCTTTGGCTTTTACCAGTCGGTCTCCACACTGGTTCCAGCTGGAGGCACGTGGCTGTGCCGGGCTTGCAGCATCACTTGTGTCATGGGCAGCAGCAGCAGATGGCCTCAGGAAGCCCCTGAAGATGCAAGGAACAGTTCTGCAAGGGTCCGAGCAGGGATCTGGCCCCAGGACCACACAGGGGACACCGAGGGGACGGGTGAGCCCAGATGGTGCAAGGAGAGGGGTTTGATGCCCACACAAGGCAGCGGAGTGCGGGAGGGCCGTTTTCCCAAAGGAGTTTGGGAATCTGACTCACAGGGGGGTGAGAGCAGGGAACCGGAGTCTGAAAATAGGGGAGGCAGGAAATATTTCAGGGGAGGCAGGTGTGCTCGAGCTGCTCGGGGCCGGGAGCGGCACGGCGAGGAGGCAGGAGGAGGCTCTGCAAACACCACTTCCCCCATCACCCTTAGTAGGACACAGCGTTGACTTTGAGAAGAGACAAGAGCCAGCCCAGGACAAGTGACAGAACTGTTGGGTTCTCAACAGCCTGTTTCCCTGGCTTCTCCTCCCAGGTTAATTGAC